TTGCTCCGATTCTTGATTTAATTGTGTATGTGATTTTCTACCCAGAGCAGGTATTAAGTTCAATTGTGTGTGCTTTTCTTTCACTAAATTGAATATTCAATATCCTTTTTAAATAAAATTAAGAAATAAAACAATGTGGAAATATATTGTGTTAGGCTTTTTTATCTTTTATCTGAAGCAAGACACAAAAATTAAATATGCAAGAGAACATTTAGCTAGAGCATACTTAAAGTGTGTCTAAGTCAATTTAGAAATATCTGTAACGGTACTTGAAAATTTGAGGAAGAAAGGTTTTACTAAAACAAGGCTGTAAAATATATTGACTAAAATTTTAAAAATAGTTTTTTCCTTATTAAACTTTGTCAGCTCCTTGTGTTTCTTTATCATAGTATGCTGGATCTTAAAAGAGATTCTTTATTAGTAACTGTTTATTCATCTCAGGAAAAGGGTCTCCTCCTCTTCTTAGCAGCATCTATCATGTAAACGTGGCCTGCTGTAATATTGATCTCGACACAGTTTTACTAGTGTAGCCCCAGGTGATTTTGTGAGTATGTCAAAATTGTTAGGATATTTTTCTCTATAACTGTACAGAAGGCTTCTAAATTACTTAGTCTAGGTTAAGTTGCAAATATATCTATGTTTTCTTAAGTATGTGTACAGTGACCTAATATATATATATTTACTAGAGGCTTGGTGCACGGAATCCGTGCACTCGGGGGATCCCTCTGCCCAGCCTGTGCCCTCTCGCAGTCCAGGAGCCCTCGGGGGATGTCTGACTGATGGCTTAGTGCTGCCCCAGAAGCAGGAGAGACTCCCACCATCGCTGCTGCACTGAGCCCTCCTTCTGGCTGAGCAGCGCTTCCCCCCTATGGGAGCACACTGACCACCAGGGGGCAGCTCCTGCATTGAACGTCTGCCCCCTGGTGGTCAGTGAGCATCATAGCGACCAGTCGTTCCACTGTTTGGTTGATTTGCATATAAGCCTTTTATTATATAGGATATTTCATATCAGTTTATTTACATACAAAGTAAGCTACTTATCCTCTTTATATTTATCATTATTACATCAGTTGTCCATTGTCTTGCTTCTATTCAGTGTTATTTCATTTATTTTTACTCATTGTTGTATTAATGGAGTAAATGGATAGCTTTACAGCTGACCATTTGCAAACTATATATTATTGAGAAATAAATTTAAATCTTAGTGTTTAAAGGGACTCTAGCATTCTCTCAGTTCAGGATTTTTCAAAGTGGGATGTTAGTAAATCCCATGTGAGTATAAATCCTAACGTTGGGAGTACCTCATTTGAGGGAGATGTGTACCATGAGATGACTGATATCGAGGAGGGCTCCCAAGGGGCTTCTGTTGTATTTGTAACATTTAAATCTACATAGGGGTAGTAGTGACATGTTTGTGTATTATAATACTCTCTATGCTCTCTTTTCTCTTCTTTTTTAAATAAAATATTCTATAATGCTATCAGAATAAACAAAAGATTCCTATGTTTAAATAGGTGTGAGGTACTCTGGGTGAGAGAAAAATGAAAATGGTTTTGGCTGGAGAATCGTTCAGGGCTTTTAATGTTCATTTGCTCATTCATTTTCATGTATTC